ATGTTAGTATACTTGGCTATGGCAATTGAGCTTCCGCCTTGGGCTATTAAGGCAATTGATAAAATCGGAAGAGCGTTCCTTTGGAGAGGCGAAAAAAGAAGCTAATGGAGGACACTTGCCTCATCGCTTGGCCCAAAGTTTGTCGATCTAAAGAACTTGGGGGCACAGGAATTGCGGACCTAAAATCCCTAGGTTTTGCACTCAGAGCTAGGTGGCCATGGTGAGAAAATCTGAACCAAGTAAACCTTGGGCAAGTCTGCCATTTCAAGTGAGCAAGGAGGTGGATGGCCTCATCTCTATGGCAGTGGTATACCGATGTAGGAAGCGGAGCTACCACTGCATTCGGAAGGATAGATGGCTGGAGGGAAAAATATTGAGGAAGTAGCGCCTAAGATCCTTAGTTTGGTCTCTAAAAGAATAATAGGCAGGCGTCTGAGAGCGGAGGCCTTGACTGATGAGAAATGGATCGATGACATCCGAGTGGGAGTACTGTGGAAGCTCGATGGAATATCTGGAATTGTGGGATAAATTATCTAATATTGAGCTGCAGGATGGGGCACTGGGCAGACACATTTGGAGGCTTTTCGACTGAGGAAATATACAGTGAATCGCCTATGATGTATTTTTTTCGAGCGCCATATACTTCAGCCATATGAGAGAATATGGAAGTCATGGGCTCCTCCCAAATGCCGCTTTTTCATGTGGTGGTGGCTCATAAGCGGTCTTTGGACGGATAGGTGACAGGCTTGCTCGGAGAGGACTTCCTCACCCGGCCAAATGTCTACTCTGTGACCAAGAACAAGAAAACATTGATCACCTCCTAGTTGGTTGTGTGTTTTGCGGACAATTGGTTTGCCCTCTTGCAGCGCCGGACTCTCTTCACTCACGCCTCAACCCGAGGATTCAGCTTGGGAGGATTGGTGGGAGAAGGCGAGGCGGCCACCACTGGAGATGTGAGAAAAGGATTAAACTCCATTATCATCCTTGGAGCCTGGAGCATCTGGAAGCACCGGAATGACTGTGTCTTCAATGGGTGGCACCTAACATTAACACAGCCCTTAGTATAGCTAGGGATCATGCCCATTGGTGGTGTTTGGCAGGAGCCAAGGGTCTGTCCTTGCTCACTGCTAGGGGTGCTTAGTTAGTTAGCATGCTTGGTCGCTGTACTCTCAGACTCAGGTGATGTAGCTTTAGAAATCAGGGAAGGTGTGGGGGTGAGTGTTTTTGGGTCTATGTATGACTCCTTATTCTTCTACTAATACAAATGATACGCAGCTCTCCTGCGTGTTAGAAAAAAAAAAAAAAAAAAAAAAAGCAGCAGGTAGTACGTGCCAGCTGAGTCTGACTGACTGACTCTGGCTCAAGTTTTTCTGTGCTTATAAACATTGGCCTTTTCTGTACGTATCAGGATTGACACTTGACAACAAAAAAAGTCCATCTGATGCGTCACAATATCTGACTTATTTTAGTGTGTTTCTACTACACTATTTTAGCACACAGCCGTCAAGAATTAGATGCAGGTCAGCCGTGTGGTGTGGCTCTCATGTATACATGCACGTGATGAACAAGATAGCCATGGGTGCACGAGGGAAGCTTCTGCTAAGGTCAATGGCAGGCAGTAAAAAATTTCAGCACCTGTCCTGATACAGCCGTCAGGCAGGCAGGGGCTTGTGGGCGGCGATGGAATGGCACATTGGAAGGGGGAGAGAACGGCAGGTGTAAAGAAAAAGAACTGCCCGTCTCTCCTTTGGCACTTGCTCCAAACTGACAAGCCAACTAACTCCATGCCATCATCCCACATGAACCCCCTTCATCATTGTCGATGAGAAGCTTTTTTCTTCCCCTTCTCTAGGATTTCAGAGGGCGATCCAGGTGTGTGCCTTTATTTCTCCTCCATTGACATTGCACAGAGGGTGAAAGGGAGGGATACCTAACCTGCATGCCCTCCTGACTTGCAATTCAAAAACGTTTTTCCTCTGGAAACAGATGTATGCATTTTTTATTTCTCAACCCAGTGATGGCCTGATGGAGGCTAGAAATACCAGACATCATATCATGATGGCTTGCCGTTGCAACTGCACATGCTGCAACAGTGCAGTGACTGGACCGCAGCCAGCACGCCTCCTTGTGCACATAGCCGTGAAGAAAGCAACCAGGAAAATCCTTCCATGGCCCTTTTGTAAAACCTGTTGCTGTTTCTGACTTTGTGTGGCCTTGACGTCGTGTCCTGTGGTACTAGAAGCCTAGAAGGTAAAAGAAGATGCAGTTGTTGTCACGGGGAGTCAGTGAAACAAACCCAGCACGCGCGCGCTTGCCTCCCTTTCGCCTTCAGCGAAATGCGGAGAAAACAACAGAAAGGAGAAAGCACCAGCGCAGAGCGGAGGAGAGGCCAATTTTACGCCGCGGAGAAGAGACCATGGCCATGGAATGGAAGCTTCATGTGGAGCTGTCGGGTGACAAAAAAAAAAAAAACAATCCGGCGCCTGTGCAAGGCGTTCAATCGCAGGTCGCCGGATCGTCAAAAAGGTGACGGTGAATTCAACTTTGATGCTTTGTCATGTCATGTACTCAATGTATGGACATTGGAGATCTTGGGCAACCACTGTTCATCAGATATTTCGTGTTTGTTCTAATCCGGTTTGGACTGAACTTCCTTTGTCATCCACCAAGTACACGGAGGAGTTCACATCCAAGCAGCACTTTGTCATATGGTTGAAGAGCCCATCAGAAGGTTGCAGCCATGGAAAACCTGGCACGTAGCTGCTGTAATCACCATGGCAACTCGCCCAGTGGCTGAGTGGCTCCATCACGGCATGAATGACCATCGACTGAACAAACAGAGCTAGATAAGGCCCCGTTGGCTTCGCTGAAAAAAAAACCGAATTATTGTTCTGGTTGATTTGTCGTGAGAGAAAAACACTGTTCCGACAGAAAAAAAATAAGCTGAAAAAAACGGATTATAAGATGGGAACGACTCCAATACTCATTTTTCTAAAAAAAATAACACGCATCTCAAAGCAGCCAATCTAATTAATTATTTTTTTCCTAGTTATTTTTTCTAGGACCCGCATGGGCCTGGCCCGTTCGGGCTCAACCCGTATCCATCACTTGACCACCCTAATCCAAAGCCGAACGCATCTTCCAGCTTCGGCATTTCGTTTTGTTTCCTCGTCGACGGAGACGGGTGCGCCGTCGCGGCATCGCGGAACGTCGTCGGGCACCAAGTCGGATTTCTTTCCATGCTATCTTCCAACGCGAGTGCTCGTGTGCCAGGGGGGACTTCTTCCTGGCTGAGTCGTTGAGTTGGAATACGTATACGTACTGGCTGGCTTAGCCAGCCGCTAGTCGTGCTGTGGACGGGCTGGGTTGGGCGAACAACAGCAACAGCGTGGTCAGGGCTGTGGACGGGCTGGGTTGAACGGACAGGCCCCATCGGAGCCTAAAAAAATAATAAAGAAATTATTAAGTTACATGGGCCGCTTTGAGATTAGTGCTATTTTTAGAAAGAGAAGTATTGGAGCGGTTCCAAGATAAGATAACATTGTTTAGACACGTCTTTGGGAAGTCAACGGATGGGCAAGTTCCATGTTTCGCCAGAAGATCGAGCACTACGTATATTGAATGGACGAAGAGAAGAAGGCAAAAAAAAAAAAGGCAGCCATCATGCTGTTGTTGGGGGGGGGTTGACTTACTTTCTTGCGGAGAACTCTAATCTATGTGATCATATTTCGTGCCTGCCTTTGCTTTGCATCTCTCGTCTTCAATGGATAGGGTTTTTATTAGGTCAAGAATATGTTCCCAAACTTGCCTTGTTAGCCCTTTTCATCGGCGTCGTCCAGAACTCGATTCCTAATAATGTACTGTATAATCAAGTCCCCTCATTGTGTTCATGTTTCGTCCGTGGATGAAACGAACAATTGTCCACATCCCACAAAAGGAAAGGAACCATATCTCGAACATACAGAACTAAGCTAGTCGTGTTTTCTGATGCAAATTCATCCTCTGGAAATACATGAAAGACCTGTCGTTATCGAGTCATTTGATGCAAAATTCTTTGAAAATACTTGAAAGGCCTTTTTCGAAACATCCAGAACTGAACTAGGCATGTTTTCTGATGCAAAAATCCTCTGGAAATATATGAAAGACTTGTCGTTATCGCGTCGTTTGATGCAAAATTCTCTGTAAATACATGAAAGGCCTTTTTCGAAACATCGAGAATTGAACGTGTTTTCTAATGCAAAATCCTCTAGAAACACATGAAAGACCTATCGTTATCGTGTCGTTTGATGCAAAACTCTCTGGAAATACATGAAAGACCTGCTCTTCAAATTCAAGCCTAGCGTAGGCGACAAACAGGCCATTGGAGGGGCTAGAAATACATAGTACATATAAACATAGAGCCTGTTTGGATGGGTGGCCAACCCTTAGCTTGATCTACTGGAGTCAACTTGGCTTATTTGGTTCCTGTTTTTTGCTTTAGGCAGGCCCAAGCTGGCCCCCGTCCGCGCGCTGGCCTGGCTTGGAAAGATCCGTTTTTCCGTGGCCAGGCTTGGGCCAGCTCGCCGACGATTCCCGTCACCGCCTCGGCTCCGCTTTGCTCGCCTCCTCCGCTCGCGAAGTCAGCGGCCGCCCGAAGCATCGCGCCCGGCTCTCTCGCCGCCGGCGAGGGCTTCTCCTCGCCCTCTCTCTCTCTCTGGGATTTGGCTTCGGCGGTCGTGGAGGACGACGACGCGGCGGTGGGTCGCGGCGAGCTCCGTCAGGAGCGCGACCAGCGGGGCCCGCGCGCTGCCGCAGTAGGCCTCGAAGAGCGGCTGCATGTGCACCGGAACAGGGAGGACGGGGGGGGGGGGCGCTCGTGCGCGGGCACGTCGAGCGCGCGGACCCAGAGGCTCGCCGTGTCCTCCGCGGCCACCACTCGATTTGGAGGAGGCTCGCCGTGTCCTCCGTGCCCGACCCAAGCTCCCTGATTCGATTTGGAGGAGGGGCCTCCGCGCGCGAGAATGCCGCTCAGTAGGGTGGCGGCGGACGACGGCTCCGGCGCCGGCGTGGGCGCAGGGAGGCCGCGACTCTTCGCCGTGCCCAGGCTGCTGGTCGGGCTCGGGGCGCCCAAGTACGGCGCCGCGCCGCCGGACTGTGACCCGGCACCCGCGCTCGCCATGCTCAGGTGCCGTGCTCGGCAGTTCGTCCTCTTGGTCGTGCTTAGGTGTCGTGCTGGTGTGCTCGCCGTGCTCGGTAGTTCGTCCTTCCAGCGCAGTGAGCTCGCGCGGAGGGCCGGACGGCGTGGCCAGCGGGAAGAGCTCCCTCTGCTGCTATGCTCGCTGGGGTGCTTCACGCCCACCACCTGTTTGACAAAATTCTTCAAAGAGGGTATACTTACTGGTCTAGCGAAGAGGTGATTCTATACCGACTAAACCACGCAACCAAACACATCATTTGCTAGCTAGCTTAAATAATACAGACAACCGAAACTGGCTTGCTAGGGACCGGCTAAAGCTGTTCAGGTTTGAAAGCTAGCCAGGCTAGAAATAGGTCAGGAAATCAAATATGCCCATAATAGCTTACTGAGACTTACCTCCAAGCCATTATAAAAGTTTCTAATTTCTTTTCTGCCACAAATTTTGGCTGCCCCTCCTCAGTTTCGTGCAAACTTTTCTGGTCCTGTGTGTCACTTCCCGTCAGTTTAGAGCGCAACGGCCGGTAACGGAGGGATAGAACGACCTTTTTGCCCCTGTGTCCAGCCTCAGGAGTAGAATTTTCCACTCCTCTGGTGGGACGCGCCCGAGGCCGCCTCCTCCGCCAGCCGCAGCTCCTGGACGCGCCACCGCCTGCGCCTGTGCCCATGTCGGACGACGGGCCGCCTGGCTTCCCGACCAGCGGCGACCCGCCCACGCCGCCGATGCCTGGGAGCTCCATCGCGGACGAGGACTTCATGATACTGCAGAGGCGCGCCCCGCTCGTCGAGGTCCCTCCTCCCGCCGTCCACCAGGCCCAGCCGACCGAGGGGCCCACCGCAGTCGCGACCAAGCCCAAGAAGTCCCGCAAGCGCGAGCGGGAGGAAGGCGCCGATGCCGATGTCGATGCCAGCCCCGACGCAGTGGACACCGTCGGCGAGCCCAAGAAGAGGAAGAAAAAGAAGAAGCTTTCTGACCTGGACGGCGCCGGCAAGGCCACCGCAGTGGTTCAGGACCCCAACGGGCTTGACCTGACGCAGGTACTATCAGACATCCGGAACCGCCCCGCTGGCTCCCTTCCATGGCGCCGACCGCCGCATCTCTGACACCGCTCGCTCCTTCGTCCTCGCGTTCCGCTCAAAATACTACAAGAAGAGCTACGAGAACGACCCACCGGAGGAGTCGAAGAAGATGAGCCTGGATAAGCCCACTGCCGCCGCGGCCGCTGACGGCCAGTCGCCCAAGAAGAAGAAGCCGGCTGCACTGAGGCCTGGCGCAGGCAATAATGACCCCACCAAAGCCGGCGTGAAGCGCGGGCCATCGGACCGCCAGGGGGAGCTGGCCGTGAAGAAGAAAGCCAAGCTCGAGAAGATCAAGACACTGTCTAGTGAGAAGAAGGCCGCCGGTCTGGAGCAGAAAGACACAGCGGCGGCGCAGCAGCAGGCAGCACGGGCTGCAGGCGGCAAGGACGGCAAGGCCGAGATGGGTGGTGGTGCGGCGGCCAAGAAGAAGGAGCCGGCGCCGGCACCCAGGGTCCGTACCCCGTCGCTGATGGCGCTGATGATGAAGTTCCCGCTGAAGAGCACACTGCCGTCGGTGGCGTCGCTCAAGGCGCGGTTCGCGCGGTTCGGCCCGCTGGACGTGGACGGCATCCGCGTGTACTGGAAGTCCCACATGTGCCGCGTCATCCACAGGTTCAAGGCCGACGCGGAGGCCGCACTCAGGTACGCCAAGGCCAACGCCATGTTCGGGCAGGTGGACACGCAGTACCACCTCACGAGATCGAGTCAGGGGCCAGCCGCGACCCGCCACTGGCGGCGCCGGCGCTGGAAGCGCCGCCCCCGCAGCAGCAGCAGCGCTCCGAGCTGCGGCTCATGGAGACGGCATCGTTCAGGCCCGGAAGCTCCGGGAACGACGCCCCGCTGCCCATGTCCAGGGCCGCCGGGGCCGTGCCGGCGCGTCCGGCCGTGGGGCAGCAGGAGCAGCCCAAGTCGATCCTGAAGAAGAGCACCGATGAAGGAAACTCTGGGACCACAAGGGAGGTCTCCCGTGTGAAGTTCATGCTCTAGGACGGCGGCAAGCTCGAGCCGCCCGCGCGGCCGGCGAGCGTTGGCGGCAATGGCGCGGACAGCGGCGTCAAGGCTGCCAAATCCGTGGGGTTTGCTTCTTCCCAGCCTCTGCAGCCGCCCATGCGCCCAGCGCTGCAGCAGCAGCAGGCTCCACGCGCCGCCGTCACGCAGCAGCTCCCGCCCCCGCCGCCTCTGTCGCTGCAGCAACATCTCCCGTACCACCAGCCTCGCGTCGCTGACGGGCATCCACTGGTGTCTCCCCAAGGTCAGCTGCTGGCATACCCGCAACCTCGCGTCCACGGCGAGGGCCCCTGCGCGCTCCCTGGGCAACCGCTGTCGCCGCTGCCATACCAGCCTCGCCCCACCGGCTTCCCTGGTGGACAGCAGCAGCAGGTGGGGTACCCGCCTCGCTCCGGTGACAGCCCGCTGCTCCTCGCCGGACAGCAGCAGTTCCCGCCTCGCCCCAGCAATGCGAACGCCGCCGAGGAGGTCCCGGCGTGGAAGAGGGGGGAGAAGGAGTTCAAGGAGGAGGTGTGGAGGCTGATGACGGGCAAGTGGAAAATTCTGCCCCTGACGCCTGGACACAGGGGGCAAAGGGTCGTTCTATCCCTCCGTTACCGGCACGGAAGTGGTACACATGACTGAAAAGTTTACACGAAGGACTGAGGAGGAGCCGTCAAAATTTATGTGACAGAGAAGGAATTAGAAACTTTTATAATGGTTTATAGGTAAAAGTCTCTATCTTATTCCTGTTGCCACGGCAAACATTGCATGTGCGGTGGCCGTTCGTTCCGGCTCGGCGAGACCATCAGACACGTCACGGAAGCTTTCGCAAAGGCAAAAAAGGAAACAGAAACCCTTGTCCTCACCGGCGTCACGTCGGCGACCGACACGACTCGGGAAAGAGACGACAACGGGGCCGGAATAATCTCCGTGCTCCCCATTGGCTCATTGCGGGGGGCATCAGTCTGCTGAGATCGCGACAACCAGAGAGGCAATCAGTCACTCGGCGCAGTTTCAATCAGCCGCAATTTGATTCCTTGCAGGAACGATCTCCTGGGATCACGTAATAATTCGTGCAATTATTCCCTTGGTTGTAACGTTCAAACCACGGATCACAACACGTGAGGACAAGGAGACGCAAAGATGCAGCAATTTTACTGGAGTAATTAGCATGAATTACTGTTATAATATGCTTGGACTAAGAAAAATGCTGGCAAAGTTATTACTCTTACGGCTGTTGATACTACAGTACTAGTATTCTGTGTTTTTTTCCCTCAAACTAGGAATGGTACAGCAAGTAAACAAGGAACCGTTCTACGGTCTTGTGGAAACTTGAAACCGCATGCTGAGCTAGTTCTTGATCTTCTTGTCGTTCCTACCTCTTTTCCTCTGCTCCCTCCTCTCTTCCGAGTAGTGCTTCTTCACCAGCATCTTATGCACTGAAACCTTCAGCGCAGCCAGCACTGAAGCTAACACCTCCTCTTGCTTTGTAACGTCAAGGCTTCCTTGCAGTGCCAAAAGGAGCTTCTCACCGTGTGGTACATCGCCGTCTTCAAGGGTTGCAGGACCAGCATCAGAAGAAGATAATCTATCCTTTTGGAAACAGGGTATGATCCTTAAACGGGTTAATAAATGGGAGGAAGCCTGGTTGGGCATGTTTGCTGCGCCCATGACAGTCCATAGGAGCTCTGAGGACAAGCTGGATGCTAAGCTAGTAGGAATATAGCTCTTTTCCATCACAATCACCTGCAATTAGATCATGTGTATCGGCTCATCAGCGGGGGTAGAGTAAATGGTGTTGAACAACTGAGGCATGAAAGACATACCACGATTGAGCCCCACAAATATTCAAATGTTCATCTCAGTTTTATCAAAGTTCGGCTAGGCGGCGACTACTCGGCGACTACGCGCGCCTAGTCGCTGGGCAAAGCCCGTCGCCGTGACTAGGGGCATAGTCGCGCATCGCGGCGCTAGGCGGAGCTAGGCGGCCGTCGCGACCACTGCCCAGCTGCAGCCGTCGGGCGCAGCCGCGCGTGCGCCAGCCTCAGCCGTCGGGCGGCCGCGCGTGCGCGTGTGCCCGCTCCGGCTGGCCACGGCCTCCGGTGGACGCCGCACCTCCCCTGGCTGCCGCCTGCTGCCCCTCCCCACACCGGGCGCGGCGCTCTGGTTGAAGCCGCCCCTGCTCTGCTTCACTCGGGGAACCAGGCGCGGCCCTCTGCTCTGCTCGCCGCCCCTGCTCAGCTTCGCTCGGGGAACCAGGCGCGGCCCTCTGCTCTGCTCGCCGCCCCCTGCTCTGCTTCGCTCGGGGAACCAAGCGCGGCCCTCTGCTCTGCTCTGCTTTCTCTTGGAGCAGAGTAGCTGCTCTGCTCTGCTTTCTCTTGGAGCAGAGGAGAGCTCCGTTGCCAAAACGCCTAGGAGCGCCTAGGACCGAGTACTCCCGACTAGGCGCTAGGCAATGGGTCAGCGCCTAGATTCCGCCTAACGCCTAGCTGAACTTTGAGTTTTATGATTAGTTATCATATTAAGTAAGACAGGCTACTAGCTAGTAAGACTGACGTATTTGCATACCAGACAAGTTGTTATAATGGTATAAACAGCATAAGCTACATGATAGGCTTCTTGGTTAGTAAACCAATTCAATAAAACCAGGTTAAACCTAGCATGGAAAAACTTTCTGGTCCTAGAAAGTACTGGCCATCAGCACTGACCCCAAAAAAATAAATTAATGGTAACACTTGTTTATAAACAAGACCTTTGGTGTGCAAGTTATCTCAGGCCACCAAATTGTCTACAAAATAGGCATACCTTTAGGAAAGATAACTTCTTTCTTACTAGATCACATGCTAAAAGCATTACACCACTGAAACTGCAGAGTGAAAAAAGACCATGTTAGAACACAATAAATACTATCACTTTCTTGGAGATATATTGCCCCACAAATCAAGCTTACCTTTGAATAGCTACAGCAACCAATGAGCCATCATTACTCGGACATATATCTGCAATGGCTAGACTGCTATCATCTGTTTCATTTGGTCCTAAGAGTTCTCCCATCTGCAAGTAGTTCTAAGAACTGTAATATATACCAAAATAATTTGGAAAATGTTGAAAACTGAGACAGAAAAATTGTATATTAGTCTTTTAACAAAAGATGCAAAGAGATATCTTCAAGATGCTACATTGCTACCTCATCTCTGACTTGAAATGTATCAAGGAGACATCCATTTACATAGTCCCACAGGCGAACCTTAATAGATGAAACAATGTTAGGAGAAGATTCTAGAGAAAAAGGTACATGTCAATACACTTAAAAGACTATGTACCCACAGTTGAATCACCTCCTCCTGATATAAGAAAGCTCTGGTTTTCAGATATGCTAGTGAAGGTGATGCATGACACAAAGCTGCAAGAAGAGTCACGACCAATTATCAATCATAGAATAAGCTCTGAAACTCCTATGATCAGAACATAACCAATAAACCCAAATTGTTATATATATTAAAAGAACCTAAAAACAGAATAAAAACTACAAACAATGGCATTGTACACCAAACATACTCTGTATGCCCAAGGCAAAAGCTCTGTATTTCATGGGCCCCTTTTAGAGGATTCTTTGGGAATAATGTGACCTACAAAATTAATTGCAACACAACAAGAGAATAGTCCAAATTTATGCTCCATTGATACAGCCGCCAATCAGTGCAAAGAACAGAAGACATACTCGTATTTTGAAGTCCCTGTCAGCAGTAGCAATGAACCGTCCATCTGGCGAAAACTTCTGCAATCCCAAGCAAATGATAACGCATGGTTATACATGACATGAAAGGAGCAACAAATAAAACTGAAGTGTAGCAGACTTTTTGGGTTTGCCAATAGATTACACATTCACTACTAAGTAAATGTAGGACGTACAAACCCATAGCACAGGTAATATAGAATTTAGAAATTGTTCATACCATGCTAGTGATGATACTGCAATAGTGACCAAGAATTGACACAGGTTTGTTATCAACTGAAACCGGCTCTGCACTATCTTCCCGCAAAGTGACTAACCAAACAGCACCAAATTTATCAGCAAAAGTTACATACAGGTCATCGTTGCTAATAGCAACTGCACTGACCCTCTTCTCTGAAGCTCTGCAATTGAAAACATTGCAACAACTTCTTAATCAAATTACATTCTCAAAAGTGTGAAATTCATGGACAGAACTATATAATGAATATGTCTTTTCAGTTAAATAACGTCAATTGCAAAAAACAGAATTATTGCAATGGAACAGAGTCCAAGACTACAGATACTGCAAACTTAAAGCCCATTGTTTTGGTGCCAATTTTGTTATTCGCAATGAGAGCAAATGAGCAGAGTGTGGCTTACATAGTCCGGATGCAACGCCACGAATCAGTCTTCCAAACCTTCACAAGTTTGTCGTCACCAGCGGATGCAAACAAAGCTCCACTCACACTGAAACAAATAGCTCTTATAGCGTCTGAATGAGAACGGCCACCACAATCATCTGACAATGAAACTGGCAGACCAGTCCTGGAGGAACAGAGCCAGAGTAAATATTTACTTGCACATTCCACCAAGTGAGATGCAGAGAAAAGGCGCTCCACTTCTCACTGGAACATGTGAATTCAGGATTCAGCAATATAAAGGTAAGCACCCAGGACAGTAACAATTTACACAACCTGACTCACAAGAATTCCAAATTGTTTTCTTAAAGGAAAATTTTCCATTCCTCTCCACGCGAAACTAAGTTATAAGAGAATATACAACTAACGATCAGCAGAGTTCACTAAAGCCTCCGTCAAAATCTACCAATCGTGTGATCAAACACGGGCACTTTCTGCATAAGATGTCCATGTTTAATTAGGAGGCGGCGATGGAAGGGAAGAGGGTATTCTAATTTCGAAACCTGAGATCGAACGCGCGGAGCTCGGGCCCAATGGCGACGGCGACGGAGTTGCCGTGTGGGTGGGCGGCGACGAGCGCCGGCGCGAACTCCGCGGCGCCGCTCACCTCGGGCTCTTCGACCGCTGTGTCCTCCATTGCAGGCTTGCAGCGGGAGGCGGGAGCAGCGGCCGCAAGATAGGGAGCTCGGATTCGAATCGAGCGCGAGACGGAGGCGGCGGGGAGGGATTAGGGTTTACAGGCAGTTCGCACGTGGGGCCCAGAGAACAGTGTCGCGAAGAAGAGCCCGGATAGCTTGCGGGCTTGCAGCCCAAACGGCAAAGGCCTTTGGTTTGTTGGTCTTGGGCCTCCACGAACACTATCTCTGTCGGACGGCCCAATCTCACGGAAGGCCGAGATGAACGCAGCACCTTGATGAACGCCTCAGATTCGCCACCCAACGGCCACACCTATATAAAGTATCCCACCCTCCGCTCTCGTCTTCCTCCCCGCCGCCACCACGCGCTCGCCTTTGCTCTCTCTGTCTCCCTTCCTCCATAGCAAGCGCAGGCCAGGAACGCCCAAGGCGACCGCATCTCCAAGATGGTACGCTCCCTGATCCAATCCGCTTATTCATTTCGGTTTTGTTGGTTGCCCTTCGATCTAATGATATTACGCATGCTTTCTTGGAAATCGGAGCAGGTGCTGCAGAACGACATCGACTTGCTCAACCCGCCGGCAGAGCTTGAGA